TGCAGTGGTTGAGAGTCCGCCTGCCGATGCAGGGGACACGGGTTCATGCCCCGGTCTGGGAAGATCCCACATGCTGCGGAGTGGCTGGGCCCGTGAGCCATGGCCGCTGAGCCCACGCGTCCGGAACCTGTGCTCCACAGTGGGAGAGGCCACACAGTGAGAGGCCCGCGTACCACAAAAAAATAAAAATAATAATAATAATAATAATAATTTGAATACAAGTTGGCTAGTGATAATCTTGTAATCACCTATAATGGAAAAGAATCTGAAAAGGAATATTTTATACACACACACACACACACACACACACACACACATACATACATACAACTGAATCACTTTGCTATACACCTGAAACCTTGTAAATCAGCTATACTTCAATTAGGGAATTCTCTGGTGGTCCAGTAGTTAGGACTCCATGCTTTCACTGCCATGACCCAGGTTCAATCCCTGGTCAGGGAACCTAGGTCATGCAAGCTGCGGCGTGGCCCAAGAAAACCCAAAAAACCAAACAACAAAACAAACAAACAAATAAACAAATGATACTTCGGGACTTCCCTTGTGTCCAGTGGTAAAGAATCTACCTTACAATGCAGGGGACGTGGGTTCGATCCCTGGTCAGGGAACTAAGATCCCACGTGTCGCAGGCAAATATAAATAAATAAATAATAAATCTTAAAAAAAAAAAGATACTTCAATTTTAAAAATTAAAAAAAATTTTTTTTCAGGAGAAGGAAGGATTTATAGCAAGTAAGGAGAACACCAAGGATCTGTCCCAAAGCAGTGTCTCCAAAGAAATCAAAATTATTTTTCAAAAATTGGCTAGTGATAAAGGCCATTGCAGGAGTGCAAGTGCATGGGGAGAAACTGACCAGGCTGTTAGGCCTGGGGAGGACTTTCAGGGTGGGGTTTGAACAAGACCTGGAAGAAGTGGTTAAACAAGCAGTGGCTACAGGGAGGGTAACCTGGGCATGAAAAATAGACACCGAGTGTAGACATTTTGGGGGGAAGTGACTGAGATAGCAGTGAGTGTGTCAGTGAATTGGGAGAAGGGCAGCAGAAAGGAAGAGGAGGCCATGTGGGGACGTTAGGCAGCCAGGTGGCCAGGTAATGCCGTCTGCATTTTGCACACCCTGGAGAGCGGGCGTCTCCTAGAATTCTGTCCTAGGTGTCTCTCTTGCCTTACATTAGTCCTGGCCCTGATTGTACAGAACAAACAACCAGAAGAGCCCTTAGGCTCCCAGCCTGTGACCTCTCAGAGGGCAGGGATCATGTATTGATATTTTTTTTGTTGTTGTTGTTTGTTTGTTTGTTTTTGTTTTTGCGGTACGCGGGCCTCTCACTGTTGTGGCCTCTCCCGTTGCGGAGCACAGGCTCCGGACGCGCAGGCTCAGCGGCCATGGCTCACGGGCCCAGCCACTCCGCGGCATGTGGGATCCTCCCGGACCGGGGCACGAACCCGTGTCCCCTGCATCGGCAGGCGGACTCTCAACCACTGCGCCACCAGGGAAGCCCCTGTATTGATATTTTTATTTGTATATTTATCTTTATATTCCCTATGCCCTCGTGTTGGGCAGAGAGCATGGCACCAAGGAGACTCTCAATAAATGTTTATTGAATGAATAAATATTTGTTTAACGACACAGTCAGGGCAACCAAGGCAAATATTGTCAGCAAATAAATACTGGCCTCTAAATAATCAGTCTCCAAACAGAAATTCAGCAAGGTAGAAAGAGTATTTGTTACATTAATGTGTGGAGGGAAGACCTTGCCCTGGAATGAGTTCAGTATTTAAAACTTATTTTCCAATGTGTAGAATGCGTATAACTTGGTCTGATACCCTTAACACTGGTCTGATACCCTTAACACTGGAACAAATGCATGATTCACAATACAAAACTCCGAAGTAGAAAAAATGTTCTGTAAGATTTATCCCATTCAGTGTGCTTTCCTCCTACATCCATTCCTGGAGGGAATATTTTTTGAAAGAAATACAAATAGTTCTTTTAAAAAAAATACATAAGTGTCACTCTATTGTTAGATTTGGGGTTGCTATGTTACTTCATTATATTAAATGTCACTTCTGCTCATGCAAGAACAATCTTTCTTTTCCTTCTCTCTTTTTTTTTTTGAGGAATAACGTATCTGTGGCCTAAAGAAACATTCATTTGGGAAAGTGAATTCTTAGCACAAAATTTGTAATAATGAATTCAGCTTTACTTTTATTCTAATAGAGTTTTAAATTCAGGAACAAATAGAAAGGAACAATTAGAACTCTCTTTTCTCTAGGGATCAAAATCAAAGGGAGAAAGACAGCTAATGTCCTTCTTCTACACCCACTTCGTACTGTAAAGTGAAGTAACACACAGTTAGTAGCTTTCTACCAGGTCCCTGGGTTTTAAATAATGGGCAACTCTGGAAGCACTGAATTTACACCCAACTAGAACCGAATTAATAGAAAAAGGTGAGTTAATGATACTCTTCATCTATGATTAAGTATATTCATTGTCTAACAGATAAATGACTTTAGTACGTGTTTTCAGAAGCACAAATTGAGAGGTGAAAATGCCCTGAGATGTACAGAGGGCTCTGCCTTCCTGCTTCTCCACCAGCCTTCTCCCTCCTTCCCCTCCTCAGGCCCACTGCTACAAAAAACAAAACAAAACACTGCAGCTTATTTTTTTAATGTGTTCTCTTGGGGGGATGTGCACAGTAATTAAGAAATATGTCTTAGACTTTTTTTATGCTTAAAATTGCATGAAATAAAAAACACCTGTAACTATCTATTCTGATAATCCCTGTTGATTTTTTAAATTGAAAGCAATAAATATGTTTGGTAAGAAAAATTCAAACTACACAAAAAGGTATACATTTGAACTAAAAGCTTCCTTCTTCACCCAATTACTCTCCTCCTAGGAGACTTCTGTTAATGATTTCTTGAGTGCCCTTTTAGGAAAAAAAAAATGGCTATAGCAGCACATATTTCTTTTTAAAAATTTACGTACATTGATTTATAATATATTTTCCTCTGAACCTTGATTTTTTTACTTAATAATATACCTTGAACATCTCTTTATAACAGCACATATAGATCTACTCTATTTGTTTTATAATGCTCCCTAGTATTCCATTGTATAAAGATACCCTAATTTATTTAAACTGTCCCCTGCTGATGGACATTGCAGTAATTTATTTGATGTTACAAATAATATTTCAATGAACACCTTTTAACATATATCCTGATGTCATTCTTCATATGTATTTACAAGGTAACCAGGGTTAACGTATACAGTTGCATAGATTGTACACTGCACAAACTGCCTCATCTGTGTGGGCACCAATCACTTTATAGACATCATAACTTTATTTTAAAAGTATTTTATATATATATATTTTTAAAGTTTTTATTGGAGTAGAGTTGATTTACAATGTTGTGTCAGTTTCAGGTGGACGTCATAACTTTAAATACTTATTATGATACTTTCCTGGCAGATAGACATAAAATGTCTTGAGGAAGGGGTTCTTTTTTCTAATTTGCACAGAATCATCACTGCCCTGGGTGAACCACTATCAACAGAACTGCTGAGTCAAAGGGCACATGCACATGGCCTTTTGATAGATATTGTCAAGTTTCCTCCCAAACTTAAGAGCTACAAAAAAAAAATTCCTAGTGGGTAAAATTAGGTGATTTGCTTGTTACCTACTTTCCCTTCCTTTCAGAGGACGATCTAACGTATACTCTCTTGAAGGAACAGAGACCAGTAGGAGAGAGAAGCAGCTGCTCTAGGCCCAGAGCACCTAAAGTCTGCAGACTTGATTCCTGAACAAATATATGTTGATAAAATTGACTTCTTTTTCTCTCTTCTTTTCTTTTTCTTTTTTTTTTTGGCTGCACTGCATACGCGGCATGCGGAATCTCAGTGGAAGAGCGTAGTTTTAACTGGACCACCAGGGAAGCCCCTTTTTGTTCTTTTCTGGAGCAATTAAATGAACAATATTGGGAAAGGTGCAAGAATGCTGTGACGGAGCTATGGTGGGAGGTCGGTATTGTGGGATAAAGATGGAATTGTTGAAATACATCTGTTGTGGGCTATATGAAAGAGTGCTCTATTACTGTAGTTTTCTCCAATCCCTCAAGGAAGAGTCAGCTGTCCCAGTCATAGCCTGGATTTCTAATCCAGTACACATTATAGGGCACTTTTGGACATGGATGTACTGTTCTGTTGGTCAAATTGTGCCTGACGTCGTTCTCATTGTCATAAAATGCCTATACACTTGTCTGTCACTGGAATTCTATTGGATTCTAGTGTAAATGCAAAATTGAAGGAAAAGTAAGTGCAATCCTGAGACCGATTCATTGCGGAGGAAGGAACGTGTGAAGCAATGTCCACAGCAAACTGAAAATGGAGACAAGGAAGGTGAGGGATGGGGGGAAGAAACCAAGGTGGGGAAAGGTCAAGGTTGAGAGAAAGGAAGACCATAGAGAGATTAAGAATGGCCTGTAGAGGTGAGTGGCCGAACCCTCCAGTGACTCTGGTTGGTCAAAGCCGGAGAGGAAGCCCAGCCCCATCAACCAGGTTTGAGACTTTGGGCAAGTCCCCTGCTCACTCTGCCTGTCCCTCAGTTTCCCTATTTGTCAAAGAGGCCTGAGAATGACCCCCTTCCTAGGATTGTGGGGTACAATGTGACAAAGAGCATGAGAATGCTTGGGGATGTTAAAAGCAGGGACAAGACGACATGTGGTCATGTCTGTGGTCTTGATCTGCCTCTCACGGTGCTGTCTATTGATCCAATTCTCTTCTAGGATGGAGCTCGCGTAGCTTTCTCCCTGGGCCCTTGCAGAAACAGGAAACTAACACGAGAATCTTCAAAGTTTGCAAAACAGCATGGCCTGTGATGAATCTCTAGCAACTATCAGGGGCAGATAGCCTAAAAAGGTGTTATTATGTATTTCCCTCTCGTGATAAAACTCTAATCTGTTTTAATGTTTCATCTTCAAGGACAAAATGCAGCTGACAGCCGGCCCCGAGCTTGTTTAAAGGACAGCGGCGTTCCTGGAGGTAGTCACTTTGCCTTTCATCAGGATGAGTTCTGAGGGAGAAGCCTCAGCGCCCAGCTCAGGTAGGACAGCACAGAACATTTTCTGGATTCAACCGATTCCACTAAACCTTGTAGTTCAACACAGTTCATTGATTGCTACAGATTTAACCAGATGGGCTGGAAAATGTTTATATACGTTTATGGTTAATTTTTGGAAGTAGGGGTGTTGGTGATGGTGTGAATTAATGTCTCAGATAGGAAAGGTGTTTAAACTTGAACTTCTTCTTCTTCTTTTGCTTTTATTTGCATTTGTTTAATGCTGAATTTATTCTTGCACCATAAGTTTTTGCTTCTTCAGTTTCTTCTGGGGTATCTTCTTTTCTGTGCAACAATCTGCCCCTTTTCAGTAAGGCTCACTGGATGGTGGCAGAGGGAGTTCACGCAGGGGTGAATCGGACCATGAGCTCTGTAAACCCAGAGGCACATCTTGGGGCTTTGTTCACCTGGATGAGCTCAATGCCCAGAGAGAATTGACACCAGAGCGCTTAAGTTCAGCATTACACTCTGCGGGTTAAAGCATTTGCAGAAAACACTCAGCACTCTTTACGGGCCACCAGTGCTGTACCAGCCCCACCGCCGTCGTGACGATGGAGGCGCACACATTGCTTCTGCAAAGTGACATCTTTCAGAGGCTTGGCGGTGTTTTTAGATATGCACACTTTGGTGGTCTGGGCAGTGAACATGGAGATTTGAACCTCTTGATTTGCATGATTCTGTCAGCTTCCTGGGTCAAGTGAGTAGCGAAGCATTTTCAGAGATCATTGCAGGCTATTTACAGAAGAGTTTGAAATATATTCTCGCATCCCGGTACTAATAACGACTGCCAAGTAATATAGTCAGGAAAACAGAAGGCAGGACAGCTGGACGGTGGGCTGGATAAGGAAACGGCTGAGAGCGGCTTTCTGTTCATAGTTTGTAGAACTGGAGAGACTTCACAGGCTCCTGCTTCTCTGTGCCTGAGGGTATTTGAAGAAGAAGGATAAAGCCAGCGCTTCTCCCTGTGGCATCTACTATACTCAAAGATTTGAAACAAAAGACTGTTGCTTTTATATTAAAATAAACCAGATATGTAGTAGAGTGGGAAGCAAACAGGGGGCGGGGTGGCGGGTGACGTTTGAGAAGAGCTTCCCAAGGGGTTTCCGCCTGCCACGGGCAGCTCTGGGCTCCCATCAGTGCCGGGGGCTCGTGGAAGAGTCTGGGGAGCACGAGGTCCCCTGGCTCATCCAGGGTCCTCCATCTGGGACCCCGTGCCCGCGCTCCTCCTGTCTCCCGGAATGCCTTTGCCTTTCTTCTCTGCCTCTCCCTGCTAAACCAGTAAGCCCAGGTGCTGATGCACCTTCTTTTATGAAGGATATCCCGAGGGACTGCTCTTCATCACCTCCTCTCTATGGCCCTTACCGAGACCATATCTCACCTGCGTTCCCAGTGGTCTCCAGAGGGCACAGTGCCACCTGATGCACGCTCTGCCTTGTTGAAAGTAGGATCCCCATAAGCCTTTGGAGAACAAGGAATGAATGAATGAGAAGTTGGCATTCCCAATTAGTGGCTCAGCAGACAGCCAATTTGATTTCTTTTTAGAAGTGAAAATCAAGACAGACTTTGGCCTGACCTGGGGGAAGTTTCTGAAAGAAGATGAGAGGGAAGAAGTTAAAAACCATTCCTTTTAACAGAGTTTACTGATGAGACTATGCACAAGGAGGGGCTTCTGAAAATCCTGACACTAGAGATCAAGCCATGTTGATTGCTGCTGTCATTTGTCTTCACTTCCCAAGTCTAAATCAAAAGTGAATTGCTGACTGATTCATTCTGCCTGTTGCCCTTTTCATCAGTAATGCAGACTCAATAATTACCCTCTTTTGATTTTTTCCATCAGCCTCTGCACTTCTGACAGTAAGGAAATATTAATTGAGAGTGAAAACTGAGTTGTTAAACAATAAAATTAAATAATTATGGTATGTGAAGGACATCATCTCATCAGCCCATCAATCTGTTGCAATCGAATTATCAGAGAGACTTCCCTTCTCATTCCCAGAAAAACTGTGCTGCTTCCTAAGGCCATGTTAGGAGAACCTTTGTTCTTTTGGCATCATGTCCCGGTCTGGATGCTTCCCAAGTCTGTGCTGGGTCTGGGACTCTTTGGGGCTGTTAGCTGTGTCCTTTGTGGGAAGTGTTTAATAGAGCTGAATTTGGATCAATAAGTCTCCTGGGTACCAATTCTGGTTGTGCCCTGATTTTCTCTGTGACCTTAAGCCAACCAGGAAACTTGTCTGCCCTTTTGTTTTCCCATTTGGAAAGTGAGGAAGACATTATTTCTCTGCAAAATATCTCAACACCTGAACACAAAGAAACTTTAGACACGAGGGGTTATTAAGAGTCTATCTCTGTGACAAAGTGAGAGGGAGGCCTGGACATATAGACACTACCAAACGTAAAATAGATAGCTGGCGGGAAGCAGCCGCATAGCACAGGGAGATCAGCTCGGTGCTGTGTGACCACCTAGAGGGGTGGGATAGGGAGGGTGGGAGGGAGGGAGACGCAAGAGGGAGGAGATATGGGGATATATGTATATGTATAGCTGATTCACTTTGTTATAAAGCAGAAACTAACACACCATTGTAAAGCAATTATACTCCAATAAAGATGTTAAAACAACAAAAAAGAGTCTATCTGTTGTATTTCTGTCCATGGTGTGTGGGGGGGAGATTTCAGTCCTGAGTCACCAGTGAGACTTGGCAGAGAATCCTTATACTTGCAGCACAGATTTTATTTCTCCAGCTGCTCCTGTGGCCTGGTTTAATTTTATCTTCTTTTTGGTCATCCTAAGCACTGCACGGATTAGTTCAATGCAAGGATATGACCTCCTCGATCTATTCTCACTCTTGGCAGATAACCCAACTCTGGTCTTACTGAGAAGACGGAGGCTGATTTGGATGAATTGAACTCGCTCATCCTCATTTTCACGCTGATGGATCTCCATCTCTGCGGTTGTCTCCCAGTTTCAGATAAAAAGAGGAGGCATCTCTCTCCCTCCTCCCCAGAGCTAACCCTGTCCCCTGTCCCCTTGACCCCTCCCTTCAGCTCTTCCTATTTCGCTTTTCACTGCTTGCATTACCCAACTCTTAGGCCTCCCTTGCAACTGTTTTCAAACATGCCCAAGCTTTATTCTATTTTAAAATCACACAACAAAACCAAAATGCCTTTCTTGACCTTGCTGTCTCTTCTAGTCTATTTATTGCCTTCCTTTTGCAGCAAGATGCCTCCATTTCCTCTTTCCACATAGCCCCTGAGCTCTGCAGTCTAGCTTCTTTGTTGAAATTGCATTCTCAATAGTCACTTGGGTGCCCTTGTGCACCCAAAGAGGGCTTTGTTTTAGCCTCATTCTTATTTTCTCAGGGCATTGGTTTTCTGTCCCTCTGCTTTTTTCTTCCAACCTTCCACTCTGATGTACTTCTCTGGTTTATATTTGCCCATCTGACTCCTAGTTAGATTTCCCAAACTTGTCTAGCATTGTGGCTAAGGGTCTAGGCTCTGACATAAGCCTGCCTGTGGGCGAATTCTAACTCTGCCACTAATTAACTGTGTGACCTTGGGCAAGGTCATCTCTGTGCCTCAATTTCCCCATTATGAAAATGAGGATCATAATAAGAGTCCTAACATAAGAATCAAACAAGATAGTCTATGCAGTATTCACCCCAATGTTTGGCACATAGAAATAGTCAATGAACATTGCTTATTAGCATAACAATAAGCTCCTAGAGCTTTGAAAATGTAACTTTTTCCTTTTAGGACACATTGCCCACATCACCCAACACAGAGCCAGACAATAAATAATTATTGGTAAATAGATTCTCGCACTTGGATGGAGAGTCCAGGGAAGGATGGGGGGAAGGAAGCTCCCCAAATCTGCAAGTACCCAGGTTTTTTTGGTTTGGTTTTCCCAATAAATCATTTAAATTGTTGAGAGTTTAAATCAGTCGTTTCAGGTCCTGTGGTGTTTGTTGGGCTGGAAGGGGCATCAACGGTAAAGCTTTGGCTGGTGGTACACCAATCAGTCACAGTGAAGCTACTTGGCCTGGAGCACAGTGTCCTGTCCTGAGATTAAAAGCTGCTCCAACAGGGATTAGGGAGGGAAGCGCTGCAGCGGCTGCGGAGTACGGAGGCTGCCTGGAACCGGTCCATTGAGTGATGCTGCCATCTAGTGGTCTCACGGGGAACGGTGCTAGACAGAGCCCTTTCATTCGGTGCAGGGGAAGGACCCTAGAATTGCAGTCTTTTCTTTAGAAACTGTGGGTGGGACTCGGAATGAGGGACGAATAAGGGGCAAACACAGCATAGGAAAGGAGGAAAAACACCTCAGCACAGTTTGGCGAAGTAAAGGGCCCAAGGGATGCTTATGCCCACCTAGAACAACCTTGTGGGTATCAGAGGACAGTTCCCTCCCCCACTTCAATTCCATCTAAACTTTGATTTTTTTTTTTCTTCCTCATATGAGTCTCTCTTTCCAACACTCTGCGCTGACCCGTTATCCTGAACAGACCCTGCTTCACCTTCTCATTTCCCTTCTTCTATGTTAGGAGCTCAGGGCTGGGAAAACTGACCCGCCTCATCCCATCTGGCTGCTTCCCGAGGAACAGCCGCTCTCCGCGCCGCCCAGGACCTGAGCTTCAGCCAAACCGCGCTTCTTCACCACGTGACCGCCGCAGGTAAGGGCCGGCTGCTGGCTGGGGCGACCCGGGCTGCGGCGAGGAGAGGCTAAGGTCCACTTGGGTTCCCCAGTCCCTTCTGGAATGTCACTCAGGTCGTCGTATCAGAGAGCTGACGTTCTCTTTGTAAAAATGTACTAGGCAATGTTGATGAAGCCGTTTTTTCTTTTCACAAACTATTTCAATCCATCTATGATCAATAGATGGATTATAGATTGTTATATTAAGACCACTGTATTAAGAGCTTTAGATGGGAGAGGACTGAAGGGAAGGTATGGATGCTTCAAACTGAAGTGTCTCTGCCGTGTGTCCGTACCT